TATTTGCGAGACACGCAACTAGTCACAACCTGACACGACATTACCCTGTAATAATTACTGACATGGAACCTCTTCGGGCGTCTCAGCGCAAGCATCAGATATTGTTGGAAATCTAGACTTCGTATGTATGAAGGTTTAGATTTCTAGTTTGATCATCAAGATCAATTTACTTGTTTCTATTGCATACAATTAAGCTCAGCTAGAGGAAACGAGGTTCAGTAGTATCTGAAATGCAGTGGCTAGGAAATGATACCATGCGGTAATTCAGTGGCTGGTTGTAGCTAGATCATTGAGAGTTCGGGATCACTAAAGCCTCGGGAATCTGTATTTAAGGTTTGGCTTATTTGTATATGTTAAACTAAGTCAACGGAGTATTATATATTATTAATTCATATTGAGAAGAGAGTTTGATATCACATACAACTATCAATAAATTCTTGTCCGAAATTGTACACTTGTTCTTCGAGATATTTCCTCCTAGAAATCCTTGACAATTTTTAACAGATATTCCTTGGGACCGAAATAGTAGCCTGGAATATACCTATACTGGCTTACGCTTGACTTGTTGTAGTGTAACTGAAACAGGCCCTATCTCGACGTATTCTGTACTGCTTACATTAATGACATATTGATCTACTCAGACAATATCCTTTCACATCAAGATCATGTAAATGCTGTGCTGGACTCATTGGGAAGAGCTGGACTACATTATGACATAAAAAAATGTGAGTTCGAAGCTGAAGAAGTGACCTACCTTGGATTAGTGATCTCCACTAAGGGTGTCATGGCGAGACATTCTGGAACCAGAGTCTAAGCAGAATGCCTGAGGATAAAATTTACAGAACAGTTTTTTTGGCTCACCCTCAACACTTGCACTTATATGGTGAGACTAGATAATGCGCCAACTGGAATTGATATGGTTGAGGTCACAGTTTGAGTCATGATGGGAAATTACAACAGTCTTAGTTGAATTACGTTAGATAGTTATTTGTACTTAAGGAAGCTGGAGCTACAACAAAGTAGTTCTCCAGCTTCACAATCTTATAATATTATTACAGTATTCCTCTCGCAAACCCGCTTCCTTCTAGCCATAGTACTTCGTCGACTTCCCACCTCTCTAGTATTCACCACTTGACCTTTTCGTACCCTTGACAAACGGCGATCTCGATCTACCCTATAGCACGCCGTAACACGGGAGGAGGTAGGGCTGAAAATTATGGAGGAATGAAAAATTATATGTGAAAGTTTTAAAAAATCCAGAAGTACTTGAGAGACGTTAACTCAATAGGAATGGATAATTTTTCCTTGGGAAGCTAATCTGCCTACGACGGCTCCTGTCCTTTATGTCCTCCTCAGCGTCGCGTTTAAGCTCCCCTCCTAGCCTACCTGAGAATACTCCATTCTCCCCGGCTACCCTCTTTCCTGTAACATCCTCCCCCCCTTAGTACGTACTCCCTTGGGTCCTTCCTCATGCGCAACCTTGCAATTATCCTTATGCAACACTGAGACTCGTTCTTGTGCGCAACCTTGCATTAATCCTTATGCGGCATGTTGTTGTAAAGGTAAGAGCTTACAGAGGTTAATTGGCAGAAGGTTTACAGATGATTATTGATGGTTCAATATGAACTGCTGATATATTTGATATTCAGAGTTATGAGGATTTAGGAGGTAGAAAGCGCCAAGTATATACATATCTGAGGTAGCTAGACTCTCGGCTTATTTACCCAAAACAGTATCACGGAATATTCTAGTCTCCTCTATCTGGTAGCACAATCTAGAAACACTTCCTGTACAATGTTCTATTGTTCCTCTACTCATCATGGAGCCACCTGGAAAGTTCTTCCTTCACCCTCAGTGATTATTATCCTTGTGCATCGTAATCCTAGCCATCACCAGCACAACACATTTAGGCCTTTACTTATGCGCAACCTTGCATTCTTCCCTATGCAACCTTTTGCGTATCTGTAAGCGCTAATTTGTGAACGCTTAAATATCTAGCCGGGGTGGTCCTAGTGACCAGTCCCAATCTGTGCACAGCCCGTCACACTAGGTGATATTAAATACAAGTCTAACAGCTTAAGCTTCTCTATACAACTTCCATTACAACATTCCTTTCTCTGATCATGGGTAGTGGACCATCATAATAAACTTCCAACCAAGTTTTACTATTTTTATAGATCCTCATAGTTGTACCATTGTCCTGGAGCATAAATCCTTTAGATCTAGCTTTCCTCCAAAAAGATATAGGGAGGAATAACTCGGGCACGTAGAGCACATCATCATTTCTAACAGAAGAAATTATTCCATTTGTGTTGGAAGTATTGTGCATTGAAATAGGCGCAATATTCATAAAACGAAAGTAGGAGTTGGTTAAAAGAGTTTCATGTTCGGACTAAAGCTAGATGAGTGGTAAGTGTGCGCTATAAGTGCAAGTTTAAGCAACACAGAGCCTAAGCCACAGCATAAACAAGTGTGGCACCATCTGGGCATTGAAAACCCCCAATAACCTCCTTTTGCCCACGCTATACATCCGCTCATGCATCCAATAAGTAGCCTGAAGCGCTACCATATTACCCATTCCAACCTCTTAAATACACACAAGATTGTGTTGGGAACCTAGATAAAATGGATGGCCCTTATGTCCACAACACTCTGTGTTTCCATTTATAACACAAAATCAATTACTTCTCTTCATAATCTGTTAGGCATATAGCTGCTACTGGTTTTCTGGGCTGACCTGCATGCCCAGCCTTGCATATAATTCGGACTTGGCAAAATGCTGGGCCTTATGGACAGAAAAAATTCTTGTAATAGTGCTTATGTAAGTTGTTTGTCAGGGCACACTTTGCATCTGCTCAATCCAGTTGTAGTTATCTCTCCCATAGAAGAACATTAATTATTTACTGTAGGTATTACAGGTCACTCAAGTGAGTAGGTAAAATTATCGGTTTTTTGGTGTCTTCCTTCTTTCTTTATTCTGCAGCTATGGACGGAGAGGTGTAAACCTTGAAGGGGCGCTAATGCTATTTAAGTTTAACCCTATGACAACTTCATCTCCGTAACATTTCCCAGCATTTACAGTATTTCTTGAGTTGTTGTGGTTATGAGCTGTGAGGTGTATGGCAATTATAACTCTGCTGTCTCTTGGTGGAGTGTCACGAGCTCATGTGCAATAGTGAGTCGCGGAGATGGCGAGCTTACGCTGGGTGATGGCATAATGGACACTGAGTGCAAATTGAGTGGTGATCTATGAAGCTGATGCTTGATGTGCATCCCAACAATTGATAAAATCATCTAATGGATGATGCGATGTATGATATTATTCTGATAGATTGTAGTCAACCTAATCATGGCCTGCATCCAAAACAATGTGAAACCAAGAAGAAAGTACATATAACCTTGCGGGCTAAGTACGCCAAGATCTTATGTGAGACATATTGAGCCCTAAAGTTTTACCTGACATTATCTGTGAAAATATTCTGTAACTGTTTGTATTCATGTAATGATGTACAAGCCGTAATTCTGTAACTATCTATATTTGTGTTATCTACAACTCGTAAACTTGTACTAGTATTAGTCGCTCCTTACAGTTGCTGTTTGCAATATTGGAACTAATCATGTTCTTACTTCACACCTAGGACTATTTGACACATTAAGCTTGTAAAATAGTATGGGGAGATTATATGGTCTGTACGTGGGTGATTGGATGAAGGACGGAAGGACTTGTATTTAAAGAGAGATGAAATACTTCATAAAAATAAATCAATCACGTTTCTTCACTCTGAGATAAACTTCTTAGTCCCAATTTATCAACAATTGATTTACAATACTTGGAATGTGAAGAGATTATAAAGTACATGAATAGCGTCCGTGCACCAGGCTGTATTTTCCACCCTTTCCCAATCTAACAGCCGATCCTCCATTCCCCTGTATCCTAACAACTCAACCAAGCCAGCACAACATGCGTGCGCTGACTGTCAGCTATAACTACTCACATAACCACACTCTTGAACATCAAATTCATTCTTGAGTCATCTCAAATAGATTACCTGTTGTTGTAGCTTTGTCGTGGAGTGATAGATATGAGAGTGAGGTTTATGGGTCACGATGTATGAGATAACTGAGGTGCGGATGTATGAGTTCCTTACTATTGTTGTTTTACTAGTTAGGGATGTATTGTCTATGTACAAAAAGGATTTTTCCATCTACAAGTGGGCCAGATCGCTTAGATCTGGCTAGCGGCTTTCGCCATCCTCTTCCTTCTCCCCCGCATGGCATCACGTGTTATACAACCACTGCTCATCATGAAGTCCGAGGATGAAAATCGTTAGACTACAACACCTGTGACATCAACTACTAAACTATCACCAAGTCCACCCCCAACCACTGTCCAGTGCTTATAATTCAAAATAAATATCTTTGTAGATAACTTACATAGAAATTTTAGAAATATGTAACCAGCCATTATTCATTTGCTGATAGCTTCAGCCTGTGCCAATGAGAACCAAGCTGGCTGCAAAAATAACCCTAGATCCCTGAACAGAGATTTATCAACCAGCCCAGAATACTGGGTCATTCAAGAGAAAATATAAGCAAGCCAAGTATCTTAATTCTCCCGGAAGAATCTAATATAAACAGACTCACACAATGAGTCTGATTGGATCAGAAGTATTGATTTCTACCTGAATTCAAAAATTTATTCAAGGCAAGTTTCACATAACCACGCTGTTTGATAGAAAGAAATATAAGTTGCTCTATTTTCAACAATGCCAGCATAGCTTAGCGCTCACATTGTGAATATTTCTGTTCCAAGAAGTATAGGTTGTGGACATATTATCAGTTTACTAGCTGTCACAGTTCCTATTGCTTCAGAGCAGGCCCTTAGTCTGTGACAGAGCAATCATATGGTTCTTTGGATAATAAAAAGCTATTTTGAATTGATAACATTGCATACTCAAGGCCTCTACCTACCAAAAAATATCATGATTTGTTTTGCAGGCTCAATTAGTTCTAGAGCACTCATTCACATCACTATCCTGTACAACATTGTTGTTATTCATGTCATACTTGAGCTTTACAACCTTTCTGAAATTACATTGAGGGTCGACAATTATGCGGTTGCTGGTTAATTGAGCTTGTACTATATTAGCCTTTGAATGATGAAGAATGGTTGAGGATTTGTGAGAGAATTTACCATAATTAAAATTTTTATAACGATCTAAGACTGATAAAGGTAGGAGAAACCAATAATACTCAGTATTTCGTCCTTCAATATATTTCTGAACCGGACGTGTAGATATATCTAGAATATTTCCATGTGAATCTTTGCATGCAAGTTCCATAGCATTGTTTATGAGCGCAGAAGTGTACTTGTAATCCTGACAATCTACGCCATGTGTGGCACCATCAAATGCACTTGCTCGAATTACAAAAGTGATAGTTCCTAACATCAAGTGTTTAAGCTGCATCATTTTGAAGGAAATAAAAACTGTGCAAAAGATTGTGAGCTCTGTGGCAACTAAGGTGATTGGATTGGAAATACGTCAAAATACTCACTACTGTATCTCTATGATTATCTGTGTGAACGGCTGAATTTTGACTCTAAAACTAGTCACCTACATTATCTTTCATCAACTTTAAAGGAAATCAGAACTCTGTCATACAGGTGAGATTCGGACCGATTTTCATGATTCCTTAATACATTTAGCATTTGTTTCTGTAGGATTTTACAAATTGATTGGGTTAGGTTCTAGTCAGAAATTTCAAGCCTAATTGTTTTACACTGCAGATAAATGCTCTAATTATTCAAGATTTCTTAGTCAAGGTTGTGAGTATTAAGCAGAGAGGGTTGTAAAAGCTTATGCCATTTAGGCACACGATAAATCATTTGGTGAAGCAGGTGAGAAATTAGAATAGTCCGAGAAGCTATTTTGGCGAGTTGTCAACAACTCCAATTAGGTTACAGAGTGAAATATAGACTATATTCTGTAATAAGAATATCTATTGATTGGTATTTACAACAAATCGCCCCAATAATAACCTCAAAATTAATGGGATATTAGTTACATGTATTCTAAACATCCCTATCTTTACTATAATTGGAAGAATCAATTTCAAAATTGACTAGTATCAGTTTGGTGTGTGGTTATTTAATTCCTTAGGCATGATTGACAGGACTCCTCTGATTAATCTGAAGTGCAGGCCTTTATACATGGGAGCTAAATACCATAGGGCCTTAGCAGCCATACCGGATAACTTTCTACAGATAGCTTAGGTAAAAATCAACAATTAAGCAGCCTACTCTCATCTATCTGCTAGCAGTTTCAGCCTACGCCAACAACTTTACATATTACGCAAGCATATAACTCAGAAGGTAAATTGCATGGTGTTGATAATATTGCGCCAATTTTATTGCATAATACCTCTGGAACCAAAGAAGAAGTTGACTAATAGCGTGTCATGTTTGGATTACTACTAAAAGAGTGGGAGGTGTGCTCTATGTCACGGACTAGCTGATGCAGAGATTTTATCCTGCCAGCTCTTGGCTCAAAGACTGTGACGCTACTCTTATGTCATGAACAAATTTACAGTTTTGAGGTGGAGTCTGATCCTAGATCCAGCTGGTATCCATCTCGATAGGTTCTAGTTGTGTCAATGACATTTTAAATTATACTAATAATTAGTTTCTAGACGTTTCGAGATGATATTTTTGTTACAGCATGCGGTAAGAGTACTGTTGGAACAGTAGTCATACGCACTCTAATAATAGGTAGAATATAAACAAACCAATTGTAACTGTATTAAAAGTTACGTAATATAAATTTGGAATTCTTACATGACAACAAGAGGGCTAGAGCTAATATATGGAATGAATTATATGTGAATGTTATTGTATTGTTTTAATAGATATATATTATCGCCTTTTGTTTACGTGTGTATACTATATTGTACCAACAGATCCCGGAAATTGCTGTCTGCTAAAGGTAGTTTATAAATAATTTAGGGTTATGTGGAAAGTTGCAAATTTATATAACAACAAGAAAACAGGTAGACTTGTGATGAACAAAGTGGGTCATATATCTGTTAAAGTTATGAGCTTGAGCGAAGATGGAGGTTATAGCAGAATCAGTGTTGGTGGTTAGACCAATGCAGTAAGTCTTGTATGAGGTTGTGAGAGGAAGATCCGAGTGGAAACAACTGTATTTATATGTATGGTTCAGAGTGAAACCGAGATGATAAGAGTGAGATTGCGTGTTCGCATTTCTTATCAACTGTGGTTTTTAACCAGTATTTATCAATCTCCATGGATAGTAAGTTATGATCCATGCAGATGTAGATCTATGTACATACACATATATGGGCCAGGAATATAAAGCTAAATACATGTGTATTGGTAATAGATACCAGAAAACTATAACCTGCATTTGAGACATAGTCATCTGCTGGAATTCTAGTGTGAAATAAACGCTAATGTGCATTAAACTTTCGGTGAAGGATGTATAGATAACAGTGATATAGAATAGGGAATTTGATAGTCAAATTATCCAGACTTACTAATAAGTTATTCTTGGCATTCCAAGATATATCATATTTCAACAATATCCAAATCCACCAAAAACTTAGCAGGTGTAAGGGTTTAATGAATTCAGATGTACTTAAAAGACAATAACTTTTTAGGAATCAATAACTTCTTTCTTGGGAAGACAACCTACTAGGTAGTCTCCCATCCCTTACATGCTATGTATAGATTAGCCTTAACTCTCCACCTAAGCCACGTGAGAATCGTGTTGTGCTGGTGATGGCTAGGATTACGATGCACAAGGATAATGATCACTGAGGGTGAAGGAAGAACTTTCCAGGTGGCTCCATGATGAGTAGAGGAACAATAGTGCACTGTGGGGAAAGTGTTCCTAGATTATACTACCAGATGGAGGATACTAGAATATTCTGTGATACTGTTTTGGGTAAATAAGGCGTGAGTCTAGCTACCACAGATGTGAATATTGTCAGGATTGTTGGCTTAGCTCGGAGGACACGGGTCGGAACGGGACGGTATTGGGACCAATGTAGTCGGGATAGGATGTGATCGAAATGGGACGAAGGCGGAACAAGACGGAGATGGAACGGGACAGAGTCGGGGTATAAGGTAAAGCTTGTAATAATCGGATCAATCTAAAGTCTAGAATAATTACAAGACAAATAGCTACAGAACAAATCCAGTCCTAGACCTTCCTTAAGTACTGTTGGAATTTCGCACCAGTTGCTTACTCTAAAGCTACACAATTGTCGGTGATGATCGGCAAGGCTGCTTAGGAATAACTTGGCGCATAATTGCACTAGACTGAAATTGGTTTTAGCGTCAGACAAAGAACACGAGTAATATGTAGAAACCTAGATGTAGTATTTTCTTTAATATTCTGACTAAAAAAAAAAAATAATATAATATAATAAGAACGATTTACGTGAATAATTTATTTGATTGAACTACTACAAAGTACTTTGAAGCTGTGCCTATATTCTTTGAGTGAGTTTCCTCTTAGAACCCATACACACTTTACAACAGATTATGATACCAAGTTAGCTACCAAACTACTTGAGTTTAATATATTACATCAAATAAATAAATCCGACTTTTAATATTATTATAAAATTATTTCTTCGCCATGTCGGCCGCAGATATCCTCAAGTCTATGAAGTGTGCGCCAAAGCTATCAACTTTAACATACAATAGATGGAGTATTCATTTTCAAGATGCTTTGTCTTTATATGAAATCGATGATTACCTTCTTGTCGACAAAATTACTGAAGGAGATTTAAAAGCTAAGGACTCAACCATTTCAGACATCAGAAAGCAGGATAAAAATATTCGTGTTGCCATGTCTCAACTCGTTCCCGACATTGTGTTCCACCTTGTTGGTCCTTCCTTTACCGCCAAACAATGCTGGGATAACTTACGGGAGTTTTATTCCCCAAGTTCGGGTGAAGATGTTGATGACTTGATGCAAGAGTTTTGGAGTTTCGATATTGAAGATGGAGTGGATGTTAATGAGTTGGTACAAAAGTTGGCCGAGATTCGAGGTCGAGTGAACTTGAATTACGGTGCAACCAAATCTGATTCCAGCATGAAGAAGCGTCTTCTAAACCACTTCATTAAATGCTGTAATGGATTCTACATGTCGACGGTGATTTTGTCAAAGGATCCCTCAATCAGTTTTCAATCAGCTGTCACTTCGATTCGCGCGTCCCAAATTGTCTATCGAGATTTGCACCCAACACCAATGATTGCCCTATTAAATAATGATCGTCCAAGCAGTTCAACTTCGTCACCATCGACAATTGATAACAAAAAGATATGTGCTTACTGTAAGCGTCGAGGTCATTTGCGTGAGGGCTGTTTTCTCTGGATGGATACTCTAGACGGGTCAAAGTGGGCGTCAAAAAAATCCCGAGAAGGCAAAGAAGGCCATGATGATACGGGAGAAAATTAAGCAGCGCAGGGTTAAACCAAGGGCTGAAAGTCAAATACCCAATAAAAATAACAATAATCCCAAGGAAGGGGCTTGGATAATGGAGGAACTTATTTTAGTATCAGAAGATCGCCAAAAGAATGATAATGTAGTTCTTGATACCGGTGCTACACATCACATATTTCACGACCGTTCGATGTTTCATGGTATCTCACCCATTGACAAGTCTATCTGTACTGCATCGGGCCAATCTATTCCTGTTTCGGGTGTCGGAACTGTAAAGCTAAGGGTTTTTACCTATGACAAAAGAAGAGCCAGCAAGATTATTGAGATCGAAAACGTGTGGTATGTCCCGACATGTACCAGAAACCTTGTCTCAGGAGTCCAGCTTCTTTCGAAAGGCTTTGAAATGTGCTCCTCGAGCGGCGGAATTAGTGTGCTGTCATACTCTGGAGAAACTATTGCCACAGCGAGACCCAAGGGCGGGCTGCTCTGTTTCAACACTTCTTCAGAGTCCACTCACTATTATCCTGAAGGTAAAACAGATGCATTGTTCTCCTACGACGTACAGAGATCACCAACAGAAATCTTACATCATAAATTTGGGCATGTTGGTCCTCGACTTCTCGAGAATATCAAGGTGTCCGAATTTAAGCCTCCGATCGCTAAGGCCGGACAGATAGATGATTTTCATGTCAATAAAAAAGATCTACAAAATTGTGACGTCTGCAATCTGTGTAAAAAAGTCGAGAAAATCAACCGTGTACCTCAACCAAAATCCTTGATCAAATTAGAGTTAATCCACAGTGATACATGGGGTAAATGCCGAGCTCCTGGAATTTTTGGAAGTCTTTATTTTGTCACATTTACTGATGACTGTTCTCGCGAGGTTATGCTTTATCTGATGAAAAGCAAGTCCGACGTTCCCCACTATTTCCGAGATTACAAAGAGAAAAAGGAACTCCAGACAGGTGAGAAAATAAAGGCAATGCGTTTCGATGGTG